ACATATCACATCTGTTTCAAAGCTGGTGTTAGCCTCTTCAGACTGTATCTTGGTCACCCTCCCTTATTTATAACATGTAAATCTTTCATTTTCTTTAGTTTTACTGTAGGGTGTTCATGGACTTTGAAATTAGCTGTTGACCTTTTTGTGGAACTTGCTTTGTAATTAGTACAGCAATGGTTGTTTATAGAGCCGTGTGACAGATTGACACACGTGGCCTTATGATTTACTTTGCAATTAGTTCTGAATAACAGCCTCTACCAAATGGCTAAATAGAAATGTAATCTACAAGCTATACTGCCTTTACATTTGTTGCAGTTCTGCTGATGTTATACCTGCGTGATGACAAGGATAGCCTGAACAGACCTTGCTCAGGAGTGCCCACACGGTAACAGCATTGTACGTTTTTCATTGTTAGACCCAGCAATAACATTTTTAATCATAGCATTAATACTAGGGTGACCATATGTCGTCTTTCTCCCGGACATGTCCTCTTTTTGGGACCTAAAAAATATGTCCAGAAAAAGAGGACATGTCCGGGAAAAAAAAAAAAAAGAGGACGTATGGTCACTCTAATTAATACACTGTGGTTTTTTGCTTCATATTCACCTCAGGGGCCAAACATGAAGGTCTGAAGAGGCCGGGTAGGCCACGCATGGACTGCAGCATAAGCCATTCTCTGAAGTCAGGTTTTCCACATGGCAGGACCGAAAGAACTCTAATTTTCCCATCACTCAGCATTTTCTTTGTTTGTCAATAGGGGGGCTGTTGCTAAGTAAGAGCCAAGTGTGTCTTCCTAGTGTAAAATTATTTTACCACCTCAGCCAACAGTCAGTGATCTGTCAGATAAAACAGCAAGATTCTCAGAATATTCGTCATTGATCTGATCATGTGCACATCAAGCAGACTGTTGACACCACCCTAAATAGCAGTCATAGATTCAGTATGATTAAAATGTAGGCTTGGGTAATCAACGCACATGTTGGCTTTACTCAGCATATTTAACAACTTGAGGAACATTAAAACAATTACAGAACAATTACAGAAGTTTTTGTAATTCAAAATAATTTGTATCTATCACAAACCATTTGACGATACAGGAATACAGTGTAATCAAGGGATGTTACTGGTGCATTTTTCTTTGCAGATTTTTTTTTTATTTTCTGTTTGAGTTCTTTATTTTCTGCTGATATGTGAACAAGTGAATAAAAGATGTTACTTTCTCTTATGACAATGGCAACTCTTACCCCCTTAAATTATTTTGGGTGTGTAATAAACTGAAAACTTACTGGTTAGCTCTGAAGCCTAGCCCATGTTCTTGTACAGAATATTACTTTCAGGTTAAGGTTAAGCGTACTGTTGCAATAGACCGCAGCCTGTGGTATTTCAGCACTGCGTCATTGCCTTGAATAGTACATCTGAACAGGAACTGTCGCTTCAAAGTATGACAGTGCCAACAATCTGCTCATGTCTCATGTTCAGTGCTTCTGTGAGATGGTCAGAGTGACAGTGGGAGAGTTTCTCAGGGGAACATACCATGTAAATGTTAATACGATTTGTGTTTTTCCCAAACTATATGTTTAATTTTTCCCAGACAGGTAAATTTTCATTATGCACATCCGCTCATATTCATTTATGCATGACCTCATGCAGCATTTCCTGCTGGTTAACAGCGCTTCCTGGGCTACCTCATGGTTGTTCCAATCGTCACACACCTCCACACAAACTTCCTCTTTTTGAGATATAAATACAAGCATGTAGTCTGTAATTATCATTACTAGAAAGCGTCTCTTTGCAGATACACCATGATGAAATGCATTTACCTCTTCATTGCCTTGTTGCATCATTTCGTCAGGCCTGACGATTTAGACAGGGAGATGATAAAGAACCTCATTGACCTCAGTGAACAACGAGATCAGTTCTACTTTGTAAGTACAGTGCCTTCTTTTATTTCATTTTATTTTATTTGGAGGTGCAGTAGAATATTTTAAGTGTGCAGGAGAATATATACAGCACCTCACAGTTTTGGGAACATATCAAATACTAAAAATAAATTTTAAGCAAGGGTCCTACCCTGTTAATAAATTGTACATCATCATTGTATGATGATTTTATGATGGTAAGGCATTCACACAACTCAAATAGGGATAGGCATCTCATACACCTGCTCATGACTGTTCAGATCTGACAAAGTTGGTTTGGCCTTGTCAAGATTATCTGTTATTAGTTTCACTTCATGGTTCAATGTTTGTTACTCAAGACTTTTGTTGGATCTGATCTTCAGCTGGTTAGTGTCATGAATAAGGACTGAAACCTGAACATTTCCTGTGCATTATGTAAAAATAGTGCCTGCGATAACAACATGTGAGGGCTTCAGTGAGGGTTGGCTGCTCATATTGGCCCAATTATACTTAGCAAATTAAGGTGGTTGTCCTGTAATGGTTTTCATATGGTCTCATGTTATTTTCCTCAATAAACAGCTCACTGAGGGATCCCTTCAAATACATCAATTCCATGCAAAGTTCAGCAAATGATTATGATCAGCTGTCTTTTTCACAAACTGTGTCCCTTTCTCCATAGAATATAACTGTCTTTCATCTGCCAAACACATCAATGCAGCACCATGTAAGTTACGCTCTTGCTCTTTCCATTTTTTTATGATTGTGTAACTTTGGCCACCAGGGGGCCCCCTCGGACCGAATTTTTTTAGCAACCCAAACCCAGGTTTGTTTTTTTATTTTACTAACTTTTCACGGTACAAAAATATTACAACAACAAAGGGGGGAAAACACAAGGGAGTCTGTCCTGAGGTTCTTGGGTTTTGGAATGGCCAATACTAGTCTGACTGCAACAATGGGGTGAGACAAATGCAATCCTCCAATTCACTCGCATGCAGCCAATGGCTAATTTTTCGTCACACTGCACACCACAGCAGAGTGGGAGCTCATGGAGAATAGGTGTTACTCTGTCAAAGTCGTCTGACGGACTCACAGACACCAGACAGGTCGCAGAGTGTCAGAGTGCCTAGAGACAGGGGAACGTGGGCTGACATACCCACCCACATCCTCAGTGAAACCTATTTGTTAGCCACTGTGGGCTCCCATCGTCGTCGGCTGACGACATGGCTGAGATTGAACGTGAGCTGTAGAACACAGCGCGTGCTCAAGGCAAGCGTCTTGACCATTGAGCTACTCAGGAGCTCTGTTCTCTTACTTTATTCCATTTACAACAGACCAAGGGCGAACTCTCCAACACTAGTAGTAACCTCAACTTTGATGAACTGTCAGCTATGTAAAAAAAGGACCTGTTTAAAGTAACTGCAGCTCCCATAGGTTACCCTATACAATCTTGTATCATGTTACTAATATTCCGCATGCTATAAGTGGTGTAGATTTAAAACAAATGTAGCATATTAGCATAAAACTATTGAATGTTAATATCATTTCAGCTAACCAGACACAGTAAGAGGGTTATGGAGTTTGAAAAACTAGAACCAGTGGTGGGTGTCTACAAGCTGTGACAAATACTTATTTAAATACATACGATTGTCCAATTTGGAGGCAAAATCTGTTGATGTCAAGATTTTAATATTTACTGATTAAACATTCTGCAGAAGTAAAGAATGCCACTGAATCTTCTAATATGACCGATACATTTTTGTTGGTGATTTTTTAAATAAATGTCAGTTTCAAAAGAACTGCTATTTCATATAGTGACTTTGAGCCAGACACTTGCTGTGTTGTATTTCAGTGCCACTGTAAAAAGCCCTTTGCCCAAGAGCTGTTGGAGCTGCTGAAGACTATACAGACCAAAGGATCAAACCAGAACCACAGCACACCAATCATTGTGAAAAAGCTGAAGAATAACATAAAAGTACTGCTTAAAAGTGAAAGCAAGGTTTGTACTGAGACTTTTTTTTTGCCTGACCAGCATTGAACATCTTTGAAACTACTTGCATTCCAGAGCCACTTTCCTACACACACTGTAACACAGTCTTCCGTCAGTTCCATCCACATTTCAGAGTGTATACATGAACACTAACAGACCTGAGCAGCTTGCAGTTAATCTCAGTTTGGTAATTTTTACATTGTGATGTCATAAATCTTTTTGCCATGGGGCACAACAAACATGCTGTTTTTTCTCCCAGATAAACTATGCTACTAAGATAAGTGGATTAATTGAGCTGATAATTGAATACCAAGTTGACATTTATAATATTTACACTTGTTGACTTCCTTTAAAAGCAGGCTCTCCATATTTGTGAATCCTTTTTTAGTGTGATGATATTAGATGATTACATTTATCTCTTTTTTAAGGGAGAAGATATTTGCCAGATGGACCAAGTCGTAATAACCCGGGAATCTGCACATAAAGGCATATACAATGAGCGCATCTTAACAAAATACAAGAAGTGTGTGCAGAGCTGGAACGAAATCTGCTTCAAAGGCTTTGCCTCTAACCACTAATGATGGATAAAAAGAAGAACAACAAATGCACAAGGAAACAAAGAGGCATCTTGATGAAGAATATTTATTGAATTTATTTATTACAGATTGTAGCATTTATTTAATATTTAAGGGATGTGTTATCATTATGTGTCTTTGGTGTGCAGCTGATAACACAGAATCTTTATATGTAAGAAATACAATTTTATTTTCTTTCCCAACAATGCATATTTTGTAATAAATGTAATATTTATTTCAATGTACCTTACCTTACTTTTTTGGTTGTTGAATTTTTATGAAAACATAAACCATGCATGTCTCTACATTTACACAGAGACATGACATTGAAGAACCTTGAGATAAATTTTTAAGATTAATTGTGCAATGAAGCACCAGGAACAGAGTTAGGTTGGATGTAATTAGCATGTACAAAGAGCAAGAGTGTTTTTTGATGCCATTAATCATTGTATAGTCTGGATTCAGGGACCACCTGAGGCACAGGTGGTAAGCCTGCTGCAGAATAGACTATCCACTGTATGGGCATGACACGGAGGTGGCAGTGTAGCATAGTGGTAAGGACCAGGGCTAGCAACCCAAAGGTTGCCGGTTCAACTCCCCACTGGGCCGCTGCTGCTGTATCCTTGGGTAAGGTACTTAACCCACAATTGCCTCAGTAAATACCCAGCTGTATAAATGGATAACATGTAAGAATTGTAACATGTGTAAGTCGCACTGGGTAAGACCGTCTGCTAAATGACAATAATGTAATATAATGTAATGGGCATGACACTGAGCCAAAACACTGGAGGGCACTGTAGGCCTGACTAAAAAGTTGTCTCACTGCCAATAATGCCGACTTGGCGATTATTATATAAAGAATGCCTGCTCTATTTACAGTGCTTAGCAAGATTTTAAGTGACCTCATTCTTAACTTACCTACTTGGATTATTTGCACACTCATCCACATGGAGATGAAACAATAAATAAAAAATAAAATTCTACCAACCCAGCTTAACTGGGTTCAAGTGAACCTTAAGTGAGTGGGAGGGATGTTGAGATAGTTATATTGTAAAATTATAGTTAATTAATAAATCAATTATTAATAGTTAATAATGGATAGTTGTATGTGGTAAAAATACATTGATTGAATGTTGATACATTTCAAAAACACTCAAAAAGTTCAGATATTTTAGTCATCCCAAGTCCCAGTTGCCAGTGATGAAACTGCCTTCATATCACCACTTTCAACTGTTAACACATTTCTTGCTGATATGCTATTGACTGTCTACGTATTTAAATTTCGTTTGAGAACTGCCATATTGTCATCTCAGTGGAATTCTACGCCTGGCTCTCAGACACTCACAGCTGCCTCGCTGAGCTGAGGAATGATTGATGAACCCCGTGACATTAAGTGATCATCACTAACACTGATGATCACAGACCAGAAGGGAGGGAGGGAGTGAATGAGGACCCAGTCTCAGAGATAACTGAGACTGGGTGAGAGTGAAGGAGGTGCTGTGTAAAATGAAGCTCTCTACACAAATGAAAAAAATACAGCCTCGGGAGAAATCATCACAATGAGTTTGGCAGTAGCTGAAATAAATAAATTAAAACTATATTGTTTCAGACTTCAAAAATTAATACTTAAATTCACATTTGAAGTATGAGTGTAAGAAAAAAAAATACCCAGCAGTTAGATTGAACGGCCTCGCTAATTTTAATTGAGACCAGTTAATTCTCTTGTATTTGGTGTGGCATTATCCAGCAATTTTTCAAAAATGATTACGATCATGTTCTGGACTTGGAATTACAGGGCTCAAAATAATGATAAAAGGACAGGAGTGTGAGAGAAAAGGGAAGATTAAGAGAAAAATAAATAAATAAATACATAAATAAATAAATAGATAAATAAATAAATACATTTGTCTCCCACAGCATAACAGAAAAAAACTGCAGCCATCTGGAAAAAGGATGGCTGTACAGACGATAAGTTATTTTGCTATATTGCTGGGGGTTGGGGAGAGTTCACACCAGACTGAGGGGATTTGAAGGCTTTCGGAACCACCTGCAGACTGTGCGCTCACACTGTGCCACTCAGTGACAGAACGAGCAGACCTCTCGCTCGCACTGTGACTCAAATCCACGACTGCCCGCTTTCTATTTTCAGATGTGCCGGACACAGGTGACGCCAAGTGCCCCGGAGACGTGCTGTAATTAAAAATCCAATCCTGCTGACGACAAGCATCACTCTACGACAGACGGCAACCCCCCCACCAAAGGACAAAGGAAAATCTCTTCAAACTCTCTGCAGGACTGAGTGACTACCCCTTTCAGTCAGGCACATGGTTACATGATAGAGTGGGCATGCCATGGGGCAGAACGTTTTGCGAACTGGTGTGGTAACCAGATGGTTGCAAGTTTGAAGCCCAGCAGGGGAACTGCTGTTGTATGCTTAAGCAAGGTATTAAACCTGAATTGCTTCTGCAAACCTATAGCAGTATGGATGGATAGCACAAAATGTGCAAGTCTGGGGTATATATCCAAGATGTGTGCAAAGCAAATACATAATGACATTCAGGCAGTCAGCAAACATTACAGGACCTAAGTCTTCAATCCCTGTAAGAGACTTATTCTTAGCCCTGCGAAACCAATTCTCTGTGTCTGCATCTGCTGAAATGTGACGGACACTTCCACTACATGGTGTAGATTCACCTTTCGAGTCTCAAAGTGGCATCACTGTGGCTGCGCTCCACTGAATTGACATTTAAAGACCTGAAGCAGTGTGCCTCTCGGAAGAATTGCCCCCGCAACCCCACGGAGAAAGCCAATATTTCACTTCAGACTGATGGGGATAGTTGGTGACATACATGTGCAGCTGTAACAGAAAGTCCCCCGGAATAGAAAGGAGCATTGATTTCTGCATCAGTGGTAAATAAGATCCCAGGTGTCCCAGAGGCGCTGTCATAGGTGTAGCACCTCCAAGGTGGATGAAAGGTTAGGCCTAACAGTTTGTTTCTTCCAACGGATGTAGAATGACAGTTGAGGGAAATAAATGTGTCAAGTGTCTAGGAAAGATGTGATTTTTAACTGTACTATGTTCCATAATGTGTTACAATAAGGTGTGGCAGCAGAGGGATGTGTGTTGTCTCTGAGTGGTCGGGGGAGGGGCAGATGCTGCAGACTAGTGTCGGAGATTAGCGAGGGAGCCATGGTGAACTGCAACCGTGCCGCACCGTGAGAGCACTGGCTCACCTTCTCTCCTGTTCAATGACATATTGAACCACGGTCAGCAGCCAAGAGCCAGCTATGAGATTAGGCAGAGGCTCTGATGATGTGGTGAGGTCTGAAGGAGAATCTCTAATGTGCTGGGAAGACAATGAGAGGGCCCTCATCAAACAGCTGTCAGAGGCTGTTTGCTCTGAATGACAGGGATAATCCCCTCCAGCCTTCAGACAGGCTAAATTCTTGAGATTTTGAATGATACTTCTGAAGATCATGAGGAAATTCCGAAGGCTCCCTGAAATACATTATTTTTCAGTCAAGAGGTTTCATTCAGTTTATGGCCTTTCATCAGTGGGAGGCACACTCAGTGTTGCAATACTTATTTGAGAATTTTTTACATCTTAATTCCACTTCCAACAAACTTGTTTGCATGGATAAAAGAGAGGACAATGCTGGCCAATGAGTATGGGCAACTGTCGAGGAAAGAAATCACAAAAAGGCAATAAGAATCAGGTCACATCAGTACCAAATGGTACACTATACCCTGAGCCAGGCATTTCTTTGTTTGAATCTTTTTTTTCCATGCAGCTACAGGTATGATTAAGTTGTGAACTAGAGCTGTTTTGCCTTCATGTGCAGTCCTAAATATAAGGAGTTTCCCCTTTTGGGTCTGGCTGTGAGACATAAACAAACCTACTTTTCATGTCTCAAGCCCTGTGCTTTACAATTTTTCGTGATTTACAGTATCAAGCATGCATATTTCTGTGACTAACAGCTAACTGTCTGTGTCCTGCCAGTGATAAAAAAGAAGTCCATTTTTTGATCTACTGATGTTGCTACTCGCACTTGTTTTTCTCACCTGCAGTTTCCATTCAAAACCCACCACTGACTGACAACAAAAAAGTATAATGTGAATCATATTAACAATATGATTAACAATATGGCTCAAAATGAAATAATATTATCTGGGACTTTCAGAAGGCACTCATCTTTCAGCTGAGCCAGAACTTGTTAATTAGCCTGAACTCCCTGGCGCAATCAAATCAAAGGTGTGATGTAGTCAAAGGTGGCTTATAATCAAAGGGACAGAGTGAAAATGAATTGTGACTCCATCCCATTAAGCTTTATGTGCAAAATGTCTCTACCGTGCCCCCCCAACTATCACTTATTAATTACACCATTATCTTCCCCATTATGTGCCTTACATATTTAATTGCTTGCATTTATGCAAATTACAGAGATCAACCAGCCCACCTTGGCATCAGATGAGAGACCTTTAATTTACGGTAGCACCAGAGACTGGTATAAGCCCATCTGTTCTATCTGATCGCTTGTGGCAAGTGCTCTCTGTCTCATTAAGGACAGAATTAGCTGTCACCGCAGTAAGGGTGGCTCGCTTGTCATAGGGCTCAGGCTAAGCAAGGCATGTGCTGATACCATAATGGTACCCCCTCTCCTTTCAGCTTCATTCTTAAGACTCAAATCACAGCATATGGATTTAAAAGAATATACCACGCTCAGATGAAGTGTTTTCAGCAGTGGCAGTGAGGCTTAACAGTATGCTGGTGTCTTTGTGTGAAGAAAATGACAGGAGATTGACGTTCACTTGAGAAGACAAACGCCCCTCTTCCTAATGGGTATGCATGTCCCTGAATACAAAGAAACTGTGGATGGCACAAATGCCCCAAAGAAAAATTACTGGAGAAATAGAAGACTGATATTGGGAACAGACAGACAAGTCATACTTACAGGCCACTGATTTCCTGCATTTTTTATTACTTTGCTTTGTTTTGCACACACCCCAATATACAGTGACTTACATAGATTACTTTTTATTCCATTTTATACATTTACTCATCTGCATATTTAGCAAAGCATTTGCATTGCTCAAGGATCCTGAGGATATAGCCACAGCTAAAAACTGCTGTTGGATGTGAGGACATCCAGCTTATACTTTGCATGATTCCTTGATCTGAGGCCTATGTAGAGAGAAAGACAGGTGGAGGCCATGATGTAGCCTTTGAGGCAGTTCCCACATCCTACTCCGTGCTCCGTGTGTGTCTCTTCTTCACCATTAACAGGGTAACACCAAATGCATAAGAGATGTGGTACATGCAAGCTGTGAGCAGGGAGTGCTCAGAGCACAACCGGCCAGAGGAAGAGCATGCCAGGCGTCAGTTGCAGAGCATCTGTGATCAGTAAATGAGGTGGCGAGAGAGATGGTGAGGGAACCAGGAGCCTGGCCAGGAAAAGCACAACAAAGGTCAGATCTCCATTTCAGACTGCACCAAGTTAATTCCACTGTTCGCGGAACACAAAATTATCAACATGCTCTAATCCAGATAAACCCTATTGATTGTGTTTCATCTGTGCTACCATCTCCTCTAATGGGTACAGATTATTGCTCAGTC